TATTTCTCACTGTTCTCCTTTCATTTCCTCTTTGCAGTCTTTTATCTGCTCAGCACCATTGCCGACAAGGGAGCAGAAAGCACGGGCTGCTGCTTTTTCCGTATCTGCCCGACTTTTGCTGTTAGTTACAGTTACAGCTCCTCATCGGCCCACACCTCATTCACCCTCGCATCGCCGCCGCGCCCAGCGCAGTTCCTCACTGCGCATGCGCACCCCCTTCCCCGCTCTCATCAACGCCCGCGGCGGGCGCGGCCCTCCCGTCGTGCCGCACGCGACCGGAAGCGGAAGTGAGTGCGCTGGTAATCATGGTGCCGCTGGGGTGGGGAAGGAGGTGCTGCCGCTGCCGGGAGCTCGGTGAGCGCGGTCGGAGCGTGACGGGGTGGCTCCTGGGGGTTGTGTGCGGGGTTGTGGTGGGCTCTGGCGGCGGGTGGTAGCGGAGCCGGACGGACTGAGGCATCGCTAAGCTAGGGGATAGGAGGAAAGGCCTGCTTGGGCCCGTAGGGTGCGGGCTGCGGCGCGGTGCCGACGCCTGGGAGTGCTGCGGGGCCATTGAGCTCCGGGAGGGGTTGTGCGGAGAACGGGGGTGTGACCGCACCTGAAACGAGGCTCGAACGGGCCGGCCCTGCCTGAGCCTCCGCCTTCCCGTTCCTCTGTTGCAGATGGGTTGTTACGGTCCCACTTCAGGATACCGCAGTGAGCGGCGGTGAGCCATGGGGGAAAACAGTCCCGAAGGCAACGTTATCTACTATGAAGTGGACGATGACGAATTAACCCAAGATGACAATATGATGAGGTTTGCTGATAAAAACGGACTGGTTTCTTCATCGTCCGGGACGGTCTATGACAGGACAACTGTTCTCATAGAGCAAGACAGCGTGCTGGAAGATGATGAGGATGAAGGACAATGTGGTGATCACTTGCCTTTTTTACCGGAGGGTCATGAAGAAGGATTTCATTTAATAGCAGATCATGAAGGAATGTCCCAGGGTTATGTGCAACATATTATTTCTCCAGATCAGATTCACCTAACAATAAATCCTGGTTCAACTCCTATGCCAAGAAACATTGAAGGCGCAACACTCACTCTGCAGTCTGAATGCCCAGAAACCAAGCTTAAAGAAGTAAGTAGTTAAATATATTTTTAAATTCGTGCTTGCTGTGCTTGGTCTTCATCTGGTGGCCTCAAATGCTTTGAAAAATACGGTGACTAAAAGTGTGTGCCAGGAGGCAGGCAGCAGCTTTTCCTGTTCTTAAGGATCACTGTATGGCTGGTTCTTATGAGTGATTCCATCAAACTCCCTGTTATTGTTAGCAGTAGTAGTGCCTTGTGCAGGGAGGAAAGGTTGTGTTCTATGGTCCTTTGGTGCATCAGCAGCATGGCTGTGAATGTCTTCAGTTTTTAATCTCGTGTCTTGCTGTTTTCCTGTGAAGCAGCAGGAAGTGTTTTTTGACATCTGCAAGCTAGAGGAGAATATGGCAACAGAAATACATTGACAGTAGTACTGTTTCTGTTAGTAAGCTGTAGTACTAGTCCTGCTATTTTATTGTTCGGATAATTATTTTCTGAGTTGAGCTAAAAGGAGCATGGGCTCTGTTATTCTGTGGTGAACCACGTTCCTGAGAAAAGCGCATCTAAATTGCAGCTTAAAATCTGCCCTCTCAGAGCTAGCTAAAATATGGAGCTTAAGATGCCAAACTTAAAATTCCTTTTTAGCTTTATTGTGTCACTCACAGGGAAACTAAGAAGAAAGCAAGAGAAACCTCAGAGTACCATCTGCTGTCTTAAAAGCTTAAGTTAGCTTATGTGTTGGAGGATAATGTATGGAGGCTGCTTCTAATTCTGTTTCCCTGATGAATTCTACCTGCATGCCAAGTGGTGATGGCTTGCAGGTTTGTTACTTCTTAGGTGCAAGGCAAAGTGGATTCAAATGACATATTTCTAACAACTTTGCCCTACTTTCTTGGCCCTGCTGAGTTAAACTCTTACTGGTGCCTTAGCAAGTATCAGTGGCAGTCGTATCAGCTGCTCATGTAACTGATATTCAGTGTGAGTGAGAATTGCAGAAATGAGCCCCTGCTTAGGGAGAAAGCTTGGTTTGAATGCTGTGAATAATTTAAACTAGCAGGCAGCCTTGATTATCACTCACTCAGCAGCGAGGATACGGGGCTGTAGGAGGTCAGCTTTGCAATTAGTTGTGAAACTTCTGGAGCAAGGTTTGTGCAGTGGACCCATCCAAAGGATTCTGTTTGCTCAGATATTATTCACACTCGTAGCAGCTGCGTCCTCCCTTAGCTGCTAAAATGTTTAATTTTGGTACGTCAGTCATGCCAGTATTTTCTGTTCTTTTAGTAGAACAATCAGCTTGCAGTCTGCAGTGTGTGAGAGCAGTAGTTACATTGGTGCTGATGGCTTTACATATGCTGTTAGACTGATTTATTTTTCTATGCTGCCTTTTAGAAAAACGCTTGTAAGACCTGGAACTGCCTGATTCAGTTCTTTGTCTGAATTTATTTCCCATTTCTTGGCTTCGTTTTCAAGGTGGGAGGGGAGGAATTGCACTATAATTTGAGTGCAGTGGAATCGAGTGTTGAGCAAACAGAGCTCTTTTCCTTTTGTTCAATGATTTCAGATGCTTGGTAAGTTTTTGGAGGGGGAAAAAGAAACTGTAAAAGTTCTGAATGTTTGGGTCAGCTCTCAGTGCTACCAGTCCAATCCTTTTGTATCTCCAAGACATCTGAGGAGGTCCTAATAATGAAGATAAATGTTTTAATGTCTCATACTTTCAGGTCAACCTTAGACATTTGTGTAGGAAAGTTTTATGCTCCTTTAAGTCCCTTTAACTTCCTGGTGTTGTCATAAACTTCTCTGGCTGTGGTTGTCTGCATGAGAGTAAATGCAGTTGCAGTCTTCAATTTCAGTTCCATTGATGTGGCTTTAATCAGTGGTGGTAGGCAAAATGCAAACCTAAGGGGAAAAGCCTAAAATAAAGACAATTTAAAGGCAAACTGAGCAATTGAAGTGGCCTTTGGTTCAGCTTTTGTGAGTGGTGTTGGTGATTGGACAATTAGTTCTTACTTCTAGGGTAAATACTTAATGAAGGCTTCTAGCTTCCCTCTGGTGTGTGAGGAGCATGTTATCTTCTGCAGAAAGCTGATGTGATACGGCCACAGCCTTTGTCTTCACAGCAGCTTGTTCCTCTACATGTTGTACCCAGCCATCCCTGGCTTTTCCTGTAGCTGCCTTGTTTCTGTTGTGTTGCTTGCACGTGGTCCTGAGCACAGGCTGCTCTGTCTGCCGGTCTTTCATGGTCAGTATCTCCATCATTTCGTGTGTACGATGTTTATGTGATGTGCTGAATTTCCTAATGTGAAAAGAGAATGAAGTGCTTTGCTGCTGTATGAGGAGTTTTATTTATTTGTGACAGTATTGCTTCTGTCTCCAGCATCCTTCTAAATCTGCAGAAGAACAATTCAGTCTTTGCAGAAAAGGAGGAGCTCCACAAGGCCTTCTAACTGAACTGCCATCTTCCTTTAAATGGGTGCATGGCAGCTAGGGACCAAATCATTACTACCTAATAAATATTCTCCTTTTCCTTTCACTTTCTAGGCCTAACTGTAACCACAAAGGACTCTTCACCTAATAGTTTCTAGGTAGCTCATGTCTCTGTCAAATCCCTTTTATTATGGGAAGCACAGTGGAAAGCACCCTATAATGCAGCGTGTAAAACTAATTACCAGCTGCCTTAAATTTCCAAAGGGTAAGAATTGACTTCCAAACTATTATAAATTGTATTCCAAACTGAGTCTGAAGATCTCTGGTGGACATAATGTGCACGTTTTCTTCTAAGAAAAATGTGCTTTCTGACCTTGTATCTGTATTTTACAAGTCTGCACTTTTCCTTCTGTCTTGGTGGGCTCAACACACAACCAAATTTATTAATTATCTTTTAACTGTATTGTAATGCCCATATATTTGTTGGTAACTATTAGTGTAATATATATGTCCAGATCCCATTAATTACCCTTGTGGCACCGTATTACATCGGTGGGAGCTTACATGAGCACAGGTCAGGGGATGCCATGTTATTTTCAGCTATTTCATGTGTTTTCAGCCCCCAAGCTGTGGTAATTAAAGAGCAATGAGTTTTAAGTTTTCTGATGGATGTATGCATAAAGCAGCAAGAGAAGAATGATTGTTGAGACCATAGATGTTACCTGCTGGTTATCTATAGGTTCATCTACCTCTACTGTGGTACCAAACTACAACTCAGTGGGTTTTTTTGTTAGTTAGTTTTAAATTTTCTTGTTGAAGGCAGTCTGAGGTGTTTTCTAAGCAGAAATGCTGTGTGCTGTGAGGTAGGTGTTGAGTGCCTTGGTAAAGAGGAGGACTGCTGACCTTGACCTGCTAGATTATCTTTCAGTCTAGTTGTTAGAATACTAAATCTGAAGGTTTCTGCTCCTCTGTTGTGACTTTGCATCACCTTTCCAAGGATTTCAAAATGAACATCTTCTGCAATGCTGCTTCTGCTTCTTGCCTGTCAAGCATCACGTTCTCTCCTGGGCTGTATAATTACTTCTAGATGTAAAGGATTCTCAGCTGAAGCAGTCAAATGAAAGCCACCAGTCTGATAATTAATGTTGGAGGGAGATTAATCAAGCATATCAAGGCCTACTTCTTTTTCTTCACAAGAGAGAATGAGGTTTAATTAAGTGTTATGACTTGCACGCTGGAAGTTTCCTGACGTGGTCTCTTGGTCTCTTCCTGCCTGTTGCAGAAGATGGGAAGGCTGTCAGATCTAATTCATATGGAACTGCTTCCTGGTGATCTAGATGGCTGTGAAACCAGTGGCACCTATGATGTGAAGCACCCTGTGTAATTCATTGTGCTTCAGGCATGTGCTGTCTGAGTGAACACAGGAGAACGCAGAATGATGAAGGCTGCTTTTGAGATAAAATGGAGTAACACTGTAGGAGGTTTAAAACACTGTAGATTCCTTCAGGGTGTCAATGCAGCACACAGGCTGGTTTTTTGAGGGTTGACATGTGAAAGTACATCCTTCCTTGTCTTCCTCCTCTGTAAATAGCTCTGCTATAAGCAGTGGAGGTGCTCTGGATGGGAATAGTGGGTTGGTTTGATGTAATCTTGGGGATCCTTTCCAACTTTTGATTTCTAACTATATATATGGAATTTTTTTTCCCCCCTTTTTTCCTTTTCAATCAGTTTCCTATTCTGTAAGGTCAGCCTGCTTTCCATTGCGTGCCGCTCTTTCCATGGTCCAGCAGATCTATTAAGTAGTCTGATAACTGAACTGTTTTATTTTTTCTTTCCTTTCACATCACAATCCATCACGTTGTCTCCAGATTCTGGGAATGATTAAAAAAAAAATCAAATCATGCAACATTTCTATCCCACAGGTTAAGAGATACCAGTGCACTTTTGAGGGCTGTCCACGAACCTATAGCACTGCTGGAAACCTGCGCACTCACCAAAAGACACATCGTGGGGAATACACTTTTGTCTGCAATCAAGAAGGCTGTGGCAAAGCCTTTCTTACCTCTTACAGCCTCAAAATCCACGTTCGAGTGCACACAAAGGAGAAGCCGTTTGAATGTGATGTGCAGGGCTGTGAAAAGGCATTCAATACACTGTACAGGTAGGAATTCTCTGCGTGTTTCTTTTGGAGAAATGTGGGAAATGGGTGCCAAGAAGGCGTAGATGTCCAGGATGACAGAACTTGTGATAATGTGCTTAGCTTGATTATTTTCTGGTGGTTTTGAAGGTGGTGCACAGGCATGAGGAATTCTCAGATTCTGTGAGGACTTGAGGAGTGATATCAATTACATGCATTAAGCATTTGATCCTGTCTTGTACACTGAAGTGGATGGCTTGCTTGCTTTGGAAAGAGGCTGGCTTGTGTGACAAACCGTAAGAGGGATTTGTTTCCCTCATTTCAGGTTGAAAGCACATCAGAGACTTCACACAGGGAAAACATTTAACTGTGAATCAGAAGGCTGCAGTAAATACTTCACAACACACAGTGACCTGAGGAAGCACATTCGAACACACACAGGAGAAAAGCCATTTCGGTAAGTTACTGGATGGCAATCTTTACTGCTCTGGAACTTCTGTAATGGATTGCCTGTGCTAAAAGACAACCATTGCTGCCATTAATGAAAACATTTTTGTGCCAAAAGACAGCTGTTACTGCCACTAATGAGAACTTGTTTAAATAAAATGAAGGAGGCTAGCATTTGAGCCTGTTTGTTCCAGAACTCTCTCAGATGTCTGTAAAAGTGGATGAAATAACTGTCTTCAAATGACCAGAATCATCAAGTTAGAATATTCCTTTCTAGACCCCAAGATGAACATGCTTGTGAATCGCATTGCTGCTGCTCTGTTGGGATGCAGTGTTTATTCCACAACAGCTCACTCAACCCCCCAAATGATGAATTTGTGTTTGAATTTTAAAGTCACGGTCAGAATCCTGCCTGCATAGCATGCTTAGCAGCAGCTGGGAGTTGTAAATGATAGCTGAGATTAGTATCAGGCCAGCCCTTTGGAGTCCTGTGACTACTGCAGAGCATGACAAGAGGTGGTAACGTGCATGTGAAAGAATCTTGATGCCAACTCTTCCCTGATCTTCTGTTCAGGTGTGAACATGACGGCTGTGGAAAGGCTTTTGCTGCAAGCCACCACCTCAAAACACATGTTAGGACACATACTGGTGAGTCCGAGGGGTTTGGTTTTGCTTTAATTGAGTCTATTTTGTTTGTACTGACTCTTAGGATCCTGATACGTGTTTATACTTGCATATAAAATCATCTAGCAAGGACGTTTAATTAGATGTTTCACCCATCAGGCAAGGTCAGCTTATGGTTTTTACCCTTCCGTGTAATTCCTAAAAACAAAAATTCTTTCATAGCAGCCCTGGCACAATTGCTTCTATTCTTTAAGATACACAATAAATTCAGGGTTGCTAAACACAGCTGTTTGAATAGATATAACTCAGTGAATCTGCTGTGAATCATTTATTTCCTAGACATCTCTAGGAATATATCTTTCAACCTGTGTTGAGCAAACTGGTGACGTTCAAATGTAGGTGGGCAGTCAAAACTTCAGCTCATATTTCAGATGAGAACAAAGAAACAGAACCACGAAGAAAAGCCACCTCACATTTATGCCTCTTGAATTTCATCAGCATGTTTCACAGACATGTCAGTAACGATGCATATGAGTTAAATACTGTGTTCATGTGTCAATTCACTTGATAAAAGGGGAGCTTTGGTTTGCAAGGCTCTTTCCAAGAACGTGGAGTGTATGAAGTGGCATTATGATGACTCTCAAATCCATTCATACAAGTTCCAACATGCCAGGTAGTAATTGCTCACTGTTTTCCAGAGTATCATTAAGACTGTTTGTAGGATGGGACCCAGCCTTTTGAACAGGGCACTGTGATGGCAGGTTAAGGAACTGTTTGTTAGCTGTTACTGCTGCTGGCTTGGCTGTACGTAGCAGTTTGTGTAGAGAGAAAGGTACTTCTTTTTCTTATCAATGTGTGCACTAGTGCAGAAAGACTTTGAAGTACCTGACCTATGGTAAGGTTTTGCCTTTTATACTAACTGAAGTTGTGTTTTGGAGTAAAAAGGTGCTTCTATGTATGTAATGCTGTTATTATCCTATGTAGTTTAAAAATATGTCTCACATAAGTTTGTCATGTGTGTTTCATGCTGCCTGCAGGGGAGAAGCCCTTCTTCTGTCCCAGCAATGGCTGTGAGAAGACTTTCAGTACACAGTATAGTCTCAAAAGTCACATGAAAGGCCATGAGAAAGGACATACCTACAATGCACTTCCCAATAACAACGTGTCTGAGGTTAGTAGCAGTCTGTAGGCAGTTCTGTAGTGGTCATGCTGTCCCTGTAAACTCTTTATGTTTCAGTCAGCACTGTGTAAATACATGTTTGAAATAAAACAAAGGCTGGCTATGAATGACTGGAATTCTTATTTTCCACAGGCTGCTTTGCTCCTGCTCATTTGAAATTCTTTGTTGCTTAATTTTTTTGGAAAGCAACCTGCCCCTTTTTTTTTTTAATATTTAACTCAATTTCTTTTCTTTGCAGGATACAAGCCACTCGCTTTGTCTGAGTGACTTAAGCCTCATATCAACAGATTCAGAGCTGCGGGAGAACTCGAATCTAGTGAGTTATTGTCTCTGAATTGCTTCACTTGTAATTTGAGTTGGGTGGTTTTTCCCCTAACAATGGGCTTGACCTCTTGACTGGAACACAGTAGATGAGATACATATGACTGGTTGTTCTGTTTCACTTAGTCCAGCCTGCAGCATGCTCTCCTTTAAGCTTTCATCCTGCTATGAGGAGGGCTGTACTCTGCCACAGAATAATTGATTGGAGTTGCTTTAGGTGTACTAAACAGTGCCTTGTTGGTGTGCCTTGTTGCAGTTTGCAGGAGGCAGTCTCTTGACACTCTGCTCAGGCTGTCAATCTGACATTATTGTGTCCTTTTTGGGATGTTGGGACAATATTTGTCATTTGGACTCTGGGTGGAGTTGTATTAGCATATATGAATTTCCCTTCCTGTCATCAGTGCTGTTCTTTTTTTTAATGGTTAGGGGACAGTTTTTTTCTCAAGAAAAAGCAAGCCAACAACAAATTCTAGCATTAACATAACTAGCATTAACATTAACAACAAATTCTAGCATTAATTAATTAAAGAATTAATTCAGTACAAAAACCAAATTGGATTGGTTAGAAGGAACAAGGTTGAAGAGTATGCAGATGCCATATTGCATTAGTACCTAATGTATGTCAGAGGTGCAGCTATGATAAGCTTTCAGCTGTGGGATTAGAGCAGACTGAGCAATGAATCAAGGAGGTAAGCAGTTGATATACTGGCCAGCATGTTTCATCTGCCTGGGTGGGGAGTTTTGTACATGTCCAGACTAAGCATGATGAGTTCACCCTCAAAGAGATCAGACAGGAATACAGAGAAGCAAATATTCAGGCAAGCTTTTGGTTTTGTACAGTTGTGTAAGGTCTTCATTGAATCTGCTACTGAGAGAAACCTTATTTGGGGCAGAACTAGCATTTAAACTTCTAGGATATTTTCCGTGGCCTTTTCTGTTTAAATTTGGGTTTTAGGTATTAGTTGATCACTTCTATAGAATAATTTGTTGCATGACACAGTCACTTAATTAGGTTATCAAAGAGTAGCTTTCAGGTGTCCTTTAAATAGGTTGCATCTTTTTGCAAGTGCATCAGTGAATAAAGCTGTAAGTGCTTGAAGGGCCTGTTCAGGAAGTAATTGCACCTTATTGGCTCTTTTAACTCAGAGCTGATAGAAATGACTCCAAAGTCTAGCAGCAGAATAACCAAGTGAAAGAAGGATTTTCTTCTAAAACCCACAGTGATTAAATCATACCATTTTTCAAAAGCTCAGCACATGATTTTACAGTAATTATATTCTTTTCTTATAGCTAACTGGTGACTGAGATTACATTTTACATGGAGGAAAATTATATACTGATAAGACTGTGTCCTTATTGTGTACTTCAATAGGGAAGCAGCATGTAGGTTTTTAATATATTTTATTGCTTCAGTAATGTGAGTGTCAGTAGTGCATAGTCCAGGTTATTATCTAAGCAAGCTATTTTGTTTCTGCTCCAGAAAAGGTTTTGCAAACACACCAAATTAGTGTCTTTTTCTATTTCCAGCCAAGTGTTACAAGAAGCAATGTTTAAAGGAAGTATTGATGCAGAAGAATATATTTGTATTTGCCTTTAAAAAGGACTTGCTTGTTTTTTGTAAGGATTTGCTCATCGTGTTGGTCAGTTTGATTGTGGGTAATAAAAACTAAATGTCATTTTATGTTTTATGAATGCATGATGTGAAATATGCTCTGTTTCCTGAGGTTGCCTGGTTAATTGGGCAGAGGTTTCTGATGTCGATATGTTGCCTGACTGGGATTTGTGCTATTTATGGAGACCCAAGATAAAACGTCTTCCTCTTTTCTTTTCATTTGCCAGACACACGGACAAGATCTTAGCACAATCTCACCAGCAAGCATCTTTGAGTCTATGTTTCAGAGCACAGATCACACCACAAATCAGGAAGACTCCAAGCAGACAGGTACAAGTTGTATCTGCAGTGTTTTAAGGAAGTTTTTTGACAGCTTTCCCTCTCTGCACGCATATGCTTGGTTCAGCAACTCAAACTGAAGTCTGCTGCCCTACATAAGTTCAAGCAGCAAGCAGGCAACTTTAGCTTCCACGCTGCACTGCTTTGGTGTTGAAATACATTCACAGATGGTGAAACACTTGGGGAACGGGCCGTGTATTTACAGCATGCCCTTGTTCAGTCCCAACACTGATGCTCTTGGATGTCTCATATAGAAATATCTTCCTTGAACTTTCTCTCTTGATGTAGCTGCACAAACGTGCTGATGGAGGGGACTTCTTAGAGCTAAAGGGGCCAATCAGTTTGTGTGTAGTGTTCAGTGTTACCAGCTTCCTGAATTTGGACCTGCTTTTAGTTTCTACTGCCTAGTGCTGTATGTTCTTGAACACTAGTCTGAAGACATGGAAAATGCCAGTGCTTTACTTAGCAAAAACCTGTTAGCTAGCTGGTAACTATATTGAGAGAGCTGTTTATTCAGGTATGATGAGAACTGACGTACGTACACTTGTTCTTTGTTTCCTCTGACAGCTGCCTTGATTGAAGCTTTTAATGGTCATGCAGACTCAGTCACTGCTGTTCCGCCTTCTGCAGGAGATTCAGCGTCGTTGTCACTTCCACTTGTACTGCAGCTTGGCATCTCTGAGCCTTCACATTCAGCACTACAAGCCTCAGCAGCACCTGCTGCTCCCTCCTCCATAGGAACCAGCTCACAGCAAGCTGCATTTGGAAATCCTGCAACTGTTTTACAATCCCCAGAAGTGCCTGTACCTCACAGCACACAGTTTGCAGCCAGTCACCAAGACTTCCTGCAGCACACTCAGACACCACCGCAGCCCATTGTACAAGGACTTTCAGTGGTTGCTGGGGCACCTGCCCCAACAGCATCAAGTGCCACTGAGCCCCTGCCAGCTGTAGTTCAGACTGTGCCTGTTGGTGCGAACTCTGTTCTGACCAGCAATCCAACCATAACAATTACTCCTTCTCAGAGCGCCGCCATTCTGCAGTCCAGCATCGTCATGGGAGAGCAAAACTTGCAATGGATATTAAATGGTGCCACTGGTTCTCCACAAAGCCAAGAACAAATGGTTAGTATACTCAGCCTAGCTTTGAAACAGCTTGCACCATCCCTGTTCCTCCTAGAGTGAATGAATGGCTGCAAGTAGTATGAGCGAGCCTGGCAGCTTCTGAATGATTCGTTAATTCAGTTGTCAAAAACCACAAGCTGTGTAGACAGGCATGTAGTGCAGAGGGAGGCAACTCGTCATCTTCAGTGCTACTGAAATAATATGCTTAGTTTTGGAATAGCCAGAACCAAATAGGATGTTAATTAATTGAATGTTTTCCTATGTGTTCTCTTTGGAGTATCTGCTTCTTTTGCATGCAAATATCTAGAGTTTGAACAACAGAAATTTGTTGGGAATCGACTCTCACTCTTCCTTATTCTCTTTTTTCCTTTAAGCCACAAGTTCCAAAAGTAGTAGAAAAGGTCTTTTTTACCACTGCATTACCAGTAGCTGGCAACACAGGTAAGCACGTTTGATACCAAGCCTTTTTTTCCTCTTTCTCTGTTTGCCTGTAATAGTGTTAGCTCAACCAGGATGTGTGGTGATGTTAATGATTCTGCAAGCAGTCTGCCTGTCAGAAAGGTGGCATACTGTTCTGTGTTTAAAAAAAGACACAACAACACTTAGACCAGACCTCTGGGCTCAGCCTGTTCAGGTTGGCCATCAGCAGAGAGTACCTGCTATGGTATATATACTATATAGATACTAGCAGTATATACCTGCTAGTGTCTATGTTTTTTTCTTGTTTACTTTCTGCTGAGGGTGTTCATTGTGCTTGAAAAAATAAGTAATCTGTGCTGTGAGGTGTCTGACGATGATTTGTCTCTCCTGTGGTGAGATCGTGCTGTTTAGTTACGTGTGTTTTCACTTTGTTTCACCTTCAGGTAACCCTGTTCAGCAGATCGGTCTCAGCGTTCCTGTCATTATTATAAAGCAGGAGGAAGCCTGCCAGTGTCAGTGTGCCTGCCGAGACTCTGCCAAGGACAAAGTCACCATTAAGAAGGAGAATTCCTCACCTGAACCGAAAGCTTCGGAGCAGCCAGCTCCCCAGCTGCAGCCTCAGACCTTTCCTTCTTCTTCCTCTTCCCCTTCTCCCTCACGTGGGCAGAGCAGTCAAATAGTTAACCCTTCAGACTTACAGACTGAAACATTAAGTGCCATGGATGTATCGGACTTCCTGTCCCTCCAAAGTCCTGAAACCCCATCTAATATAATTCCAATCGAAGCACTACTGCAGGGTGAGGAAGAAATTGGTCTGAATAGCAACTTCTCTAAATGAAGATGTTCTGGATTTTCTTTTGCACCTGGAGGGTAAAACCTTCCTCTTAGAAGCAGAAACTGAAGGATCGATTCTTTTTTTTTTTTCCTTCCTCTTTGGAAGTTTTGTGGCTTATTTCTGCTTCCCAGATGTCATCTTAGTCACGTCCCAGGTACATCCATCTTTAAGAATCTATCTAAAAATAGAAAAGGCAAAAAAAAAAAAAAAAAAAGAAAAAAAAGCTAAGTTATATATGAACTGTTTTGGCTGCACTGTCTGTCACTTTTGCTTGTCATATGTGAACACGGAAGTTAAGGTTACTCGTGTGCAAAAAGATTTTAAAAAGAAAAAGGGGGGTTGGTTTGTCTCCAATTGCACATCACTTACATTTGGGTTTAAGGTACTGGCAGCGAGTGAGTCTTTGTTACAACTCCTTGGGTCTGTGATTTTTCTTTTGTTTCTTATGTCTGATACTAACCATGCACTAGAAGGGGAGCCCAGGACAGGAATTTGCTGTAGCAGAAAATGGTTTGGTTGTAGTAGAAGGTGATTTATCTGCGACTTCATTTGGAATGCGATTGTCACGTCACTGAGCTGGGAGTTGATGCCTGGGTTTGCATTGTGCTGGGGCTGTTACTGAAGCCTACAGAAGAGTTTGGGGAGCTTATTGCAGGAGAGCACGAGGTACTTGTGCTCCTTATAGATTGCTTCATTTCATTAACTAGGACTTAAGGTGTGGTGGCAGATGTATGGAAACACTGTGGGAGCCCCTGCTCGCTCAGACTGGAGAGTCTGTTTGCCTGTCTTTGAAGGATGCAGTGAGTTCCAGGTGTTGTCAGATTGGTGCCTGCTGCTCTTTTGATTCATTTGGCTCTCTTCAGAAACGAGTCATCCTCTTAAATAAGCCCTCCAATCGATTGATCAGGAGCGTGGTGCCTTTGCTGATGGCTCTCATCTTTTGTCAAGAAGAACTCTAGGAAAACTCTCAGAATGATTTGATGGAACTTCCGTTTGGGTTCAGTGAGTTTCTCCTTCAGCTGCCCAGAAATGCTTCCTCTTTTCTGTTAAGCTATATAGTTTCTGCCTGAATCTGCCTCCAACCTAATGCAATGCCAGCTTTTTGTGCACGGGGCTATTTCTTGACTAAAAAATGTTACACGACGTAGTAGTTTTTCATATCAAACTATATTCTAACCTACTCAGGGTAAATAAAACACAAACCCCCCCTTCCACCAAAAAGCCTGTAATGTTGCAATAAATGCAGTCTCATTCTAAATGGTTTATTTATGCTGCATTATTTTAAAAGATGTAATTTTATAGTATTTTATCCATCTTTCTGGCTTTGGCTGTCAGTCTTCTGTGCTAAAGGACAGAATATTAAATAGTCTTTATTCAGTTTACAGTGTTGTCATTAGTGAGATACAAAGATAACGACTATAAGCCAATTAACGTGGACTGTCTCTGCGCACTAAATTTAGGAATGCAAACTCCTAGTGGATAGAGATCTTTCACTCTTCTTTGCTCCTGTCTGATCGTAGCCGCTGTCTGCACCTGTGGGGGGGAGTGATATGAATGCAGCCAGACCTCCCCAAGATAACCTGGTGATTTGAAGGCTTTTTAACTCTCTTGTGACGTTCTCAGTGCAGCCTTACCACACCACTGCCAGTCTTAGCTGAGGCAGTGGCTTAAGCTATCTCATGGTTTTGCAAATGCACTGCCAAGGCACAGCTGGAAATGGGCTGAAAGGAACTGGCTTTTCACCTCTCTGTCAACTTGCTTCCAGTTGTTAAATGCAGAAGTGTAAAACGAGGGTGGTCCATTCAGGTGAGTGCGAGGGAGGAGAGACTGTGGAAAGCGCTGTGTCGCTCTGCTAGGACAGAACACTCTTGCTAATTGCAGTGATGAGTTTGGAGGCCATCACCTGAACTGGAAACGTGCTGCTGATGTTTCCTGTCTGGGAGCACTGGCTCACATTGCAGTGCTATGCAGTTTATTACAATGGGGATGTGGGTCCTGCAGCAATAAGGTTTGCATCCATGAAACGTGGATTAACAAAGCATCTGATGTTTTGTTCTTGTCATGGCAATCCCTTGAGGACAGTGTGGTGGTGCGGTCCCCTTTGTTTTTCTTTTCCCTGCAGTATCATTTTGTGATGCAGTCTGGTTGTGTGGCAGCAAGAACTGCTTTCAACACAGAAGAAACAGCCTCGAGTCTGCGTGAGTGGAACTGTCCCCCCTTGAGTGAGTCTCCTTGCCCCTTTCCTTGGCACAGTGTGGCAGTGGTGTTTGAGGGTGTGTGGATGTAATTGTGTGTGCGCCTGTGAGAGTCTGCTAATGCAGGAGCACATAGCTTCCCCTTGAGATGTGGGGTTTTCTCTGATGGGGACAAGATGTGCCCTGAAATGTGACAGTTGAGAGGTTTAGCAACCTTTTCTGAGCCTTTCCATCCTTCAGGGAAGCATTTTTTCCTTTCTAGCCTGGCTACTTGTGACTTAGTTCACGTAAAGCATGCTTGTTGTTAGGCCAGGTAGCATCTTCAGAAACTCCCTTGTGGTAGAAATGAGTGAAAAAAAACATCTGCCAAAGGCTTTGAAATTAGAAGTTCATTTGGAGGTGTGGTGATTGGCAGCAGCAAGATGCTGCATGCATCCTTTCTGAGTGGAGATAAGAGGTTAACCCCTCTGCTGCTTTCTCCTCACAGCTACTGTTTCATATTGGTGTTTTAGGAAAAGCAATGCATTCCAGGTTTATACTGACTTTTAGGTGTGTTGGGTTTGCAGTTTTCCTCTTTATTTGTGTGTCAGACAGGTATTGATTTAGGTGAAACTAATTAAAGCTTGTAATAAGGGAAGAAGAGTGTGATTCTGAGTGCGTGGGCTGTGAGCTGTGCATCCCAGCTGTTGTGTTGTACAATACTTGCTTTTGTTCTTTCACTGTTGGTCTGTTTTCCATGCGCCATCTATCTGATATGTTTCACAGTGAACATGGCTTTGCATCATCCCCAGTGCTGTGTGATCAGACGTGCTGCTGGGTGGTTATGAACATGCTTGGAAGGGAGGAGCTGTGTGAGCAGCTGGCATGAGAGGGATATCACAGCAAAGCCCTGTGATTCCTCGGTGCCAGGGAGCTCATCATAGGATCATTTGAGTTGGAAGGGCCTCTTAAAGGCCATCTAGTCCAATCCCCATGCAATGAATGCACATCTACAGCTCCATCAGGTGCTCAGAGCCCTGTCCAGCCTGACCTTGAATGTCTCCAGGGGTGGGACGTCCACCAGCTCTCTGGGCAATTTGTGCCAGTGCCTCAGCACCCTTATGGTAAAAAAAACAAACAGCAAACTTCTTTTTTTTTTATAGCCCCCCCCTTTAAATACTGGAAGGCTGATACCAGGTCTCCCTGCAGCCTTCTCTCCTCCAGGCACAGCCAACAGCTCTCAGCCTGTCGTTGCAGGGTGGTGTCCCATCCTTCAGATCACTTTTTGTGGCCCTTCTCTGGATATGCTCCAACAGGTCTGTGTCTCTCCTGTACTGGGAGCTCCAAGTACACAGCACTCAAGTTGAGGTCTCACCAATGCAGAGCAGAGGGGCAAGGTTACCTCCCTTGCCCTCTTGGCCACGTTGCTTTGAATGCAATCCAGGATACAGTTGGCTCTCTGGGCTGTGAGGGCACAGTGCTGGCTCATATCCTTTACCCCCAAGCCCTTTTCAGCAGTTTGGTGTCATCTTCAAACTGTTGAGAATCCACACAACCCCACTGTCAGTGGCACTGATGAAGATGTTCAAGAGCATCGACCCCAGTACTGACCCCTGAGGGACAGCACTGGTTGCCCCAGCATTTTGCATATTCATAAAACCTTATTAAAAAGTGTGGAGCTTTTGTCACTGTAGGTCTGGTAAGATGTAGGATTTCCTGCTATTGTGCTGGAGCCTCTGAGAGCAGTGTGTCCTCCCTCTGCAAAATCTGTACTTCATGAATTCCTTGAATGATCACCAGTCAAAGAGCACAACTGCTCTAGGTCCACCTGTGTTAAAGGATTTGCTGTTTTGTGGCTTGTGGGGATTGATTGGTTACTTAGATTTTCTGTGTGGGTGCAGAAGCTGAAATATGTAGAAAGGGTCTGGTTACCAACATTGGTGGCTTTAGTGGCCAAGCAAGCAGACTTGGCATGCAGTTGAAGGCTGTGGAAGTTGCTTTTCATGCTTGTAGTTGATAGAGGAATGGAAAATCAGCACTGTTGAAATGCTGGTACTGAATTACATAGAAAAAAAAGTACGAATTGGGCACTTCTGTAATGCTGAGTGTGTCCAGAAAGACTAGTTTGCAGAACCTCATACTGGTATCTAAAATGCACTTTAGGTTATTTTATCTTTAACCCAATTGCTGCAATTTCTTTTGTATATACTTTCACAAAGTTTATTTTCGCTCTGAGTAAAAGTTAACAGGGGTGTGCAAAGATGAGCACTTAACTCGGTGCAATACTTGTAGCTAAAGATCATTGTCCCACGTGGTCAGTCTGTCTGTGTCTGTCTAATTGAATATATATAATAACTACTAGCTCAGTGACATATTGCCCTACCCTGTCTGTACCCAAGAGAAATTATGCATCGTTAGCAAATGTCCGATCTATGCAAATATTTCACTGAGAGCACTGTGCTTTAGCAGCCTTTCCTCTCACGCTTTCTGGTGAGCTGCTTGTCACTTCTGTTGGAAATCAGTACCTTCTTCCAGCCACGATCTTTGTCCCTTCTCCTTTCTCCTCCATCCTCCTGTCCCAGGAGTGTGAACAGAAGTGACAAGCTGTTCCAAAACAGGCATGTTGCACCTTTAGAATTTGTCTCTGCCAGATCATTTTGATGTCATGTTATCTGCCTTACTGCGGAGGGTGGCACTTCTCTGTCATCTGAGATATTGTGTTTGCAACTGCAGCAACGTTGTGAAACTGTTTACAGTACTCTTCCCACGACGACTATAATTAAGACACTGAGAATGAACTAATGATTGGCGTGCTGGTTGTGGAACTGCTGGGGGGAAATTAGTTGGGCTGTAATTGACCTTGAAGTTGATCAGAGATGAAAAGCTGTTCCTGATGGGTTGGGGTTGGAAGCGCAGCTGGTCACTGGAGCAAGGGGCAGGCAGGGCTGTGCTGCAGCTCGGTGCCATGCTCCTCGTGCTGCTGGCAGGCTGTGACCTCAGGCACGACGCTCAGCCTCTCCAGGCCTCAGTTTCCTCCCTGTAAAACAAGGATGTTGAAACCTGTCTTCGTGAAAAGGGCATCGGAGCGAGAAGTCCTTTGCATCGGTGATCTGAGCTAGGTGGGCAGAAATGTGAGAGTTGATTTGGACTGTAAGGCAAAAAGGAAGGGGAAAAAAAAAAAGAAAGCATGTCTTTAATAAACCCTGCAAATTTCTGGTTGCTTAGTTTTTAATTGGTACGCTATTTTCTCCTTAGCGTATTTTGGAAACAATGTCAAGTTTTTATAAACTTGTAGCTGATCCTCATGGACAGGGCTGAACTTTTAACTTTTTTGCGTCTCGTCTTGATATATATCTCATGTTCTAGGAGTTGGAATCTGTGTCTGCACTGAGAAATGCAAATTAAACTGGATATTTATGTAGTAGTGTACATAGTCTAAGTGTGCGTGTTCTTGGAACTAGTTTAAAAATCCCACACCATGCTTTTGGTGGTGTGCAAGCTGGCCAAAATTTGGTTCATTATGCAGTGTACACTTTCTCAAATAAATGCCATTTCTACTTTTTCTTAAAGAGATTTTTTTCATACGATCTTTTTCAGCAAAACCAAGGGTATGTTTCTGCAGTGCCGTAGTTACAGTAGCTGGTATTTCTTGCTGTGTCGCTTTGTGTCTTTCCACTTGCTTCTAGAACCGGAGCTGTGTCTGACCCTTGTTGTGAGAGTGGCTGTCGTTGTGTTTCACACCAACTAGCATCAATAAGGCAGGCAGGGATGTGTGAACCTCAGGCCTGGTCAGTTACCCACGTCGGCTTCAGCGTTGATATCTGCATAGCAGCCAAACCGGGACGTCCAGGAGAACATAGGCTGTCTAGTGACTGCTTTTGTTTTGTTTGACACGTATGGGGAGCTGGGCAATGATCTTGGAGATGATAAAATAAAAGAAAACCCCAGTTTTTCAAGAATGTGTTTATGCTATTAAAGGAATTTATTTAACTATGAAACACGGGAACAAATGTGCTTACATTGAGCAATGTGAAGATGTTAGTTACAGGTACAGTACTTCCAAAGGAAGAGCATCTCCAAAACCCCCCAAAAAAGAGTAAATATGAATTTGTATTTTTTGAAGAATGTAAAATGTGAAATAATGGTGTTTGCTTAATTGCTCATTTTGTATGAAGTTAATATTGTACTTTGAAATATCTGCAAAGAAGTGGAAATTAACTTTTTTTGGAATTGAAAGCAATATTAATACTAATGGAATCCTAATTAAATGCTTATTTAAACACTGTGTTACAGTAGTCTTTACTCAGGGTCCTGACAAATTATTTGGGAGATAAGCATGGGCATCGTCCCTTCTAATACACGTCAGCACTTTCTAAGTTCAAAATCGGTTTCTTTTTCAACGTTTTGCTTTTTAATATAACATCGCAGGGCTTTTTCTTCGCCCCGTTCCCCCTGCAGCTCTCATCCTCCTCCTAGAATGGAATGAGCGCTATAGAAAAGCCTACCCCTCATTATTACAATGGCGGCCGGAAGTGCAGCGCGGCGCCTCCCTCTGGCGGCCGGAAGTGCAGTGCGCCGCCTCTTTCCGGAAGCGGAAGTGGCTCTCACATGCTGAGAGTGCAGCGAGCGGCGCTGGCGGGGTTGGTTCGGGCCGCGGAGGGGCTGTCGGGCCCGGGCCGCGCCCACAGCTCCTGCTTGCTGCCTCTGCCAGGCACCGCGGCCCGGCCGGAGCCGCGAGGTGGGGGGAAGGGGCGCGGTGGGGGCTGATGAGCGGCGGGAGGCTGGGCGTGGGGGAGATGGGAGGCGGGAGGCCGCCGGGGTGGGAGGCTCGAAGCGCGGAGGCCGCCGATGAGAGCCCCGCGCGGGTTCGGTTGAGGCTCCGGACTGAGACGGCGGTGTCCGTAGGCTGGAAGGAGGCGGTGGTAGCCGCCGTCGGTGCCCTGCAGGAGGGTGGGCTGGTGGCCGTGCCCACGGACACGGTGTACGGCGTGGCCTGCCTGGCCCAGGACTCCCGCGCCGTGCGGAGCATCTACAGCCTGAAGGGGCGGAACGGGACGAAGCCGCTGGCCATCTGCCTCGGGGACGTGGAGAACATCTACAGGTGAGCTTCCTCGGGGGGCTGTGGCCGCATGCAGCCTGGCAGGAGGCTTCTGTGCGCTGTCATCAGCTTGTGGGACCCCTGGGGTAGGGCTTACGGAGCCGGCTGCCCCTCTCTTGCCCTGTAGGTACTGCCACGTGAATGTGCCGGATGAACTGCTGCAGGACTTGCTCCCGGGACCTGTGACTTTGGTCTTAAAGCGATCGGAAGAACTAAATAAAGACTTGAACCCTTTTACGTCGGTAGGTCTTTGCCACGGCGTGCATCTCGGTGTTTATTATTGTTGATATGCTGTTGTGACGTTTCTGCTGTAGTAGCTTTAATTCTGATTTGTAGTTAACAGCCATTATTTCTCTTGTTATTGCTTGTGTGGCAGGTGTTGGTGTATTCGTTCTCCACAGTGTCAGCTTTCGGTCAAGGGCTTTAGGCGAAGCAAGATTAAAAAGGTCTGTGGTTACTGCATGTAAAACATGCTCTCTTCTTCCTCTTAGTTGGTTGGCGTTCGCATTCCAAACCACCCTTTTATTAGGGAGCTGGCACGAGCTTGCCCTGGACCATTGGCTTTAACAAGTGCTAACGTCAGCAGTCAGGCGAGCACGCTGACGGTTTCGGTAAGGCTGCTTTTGCTACTAAGTGAGATTTTTGTGGCAGGTTGTCAGAGCCCGAGGCATCCATAATTGGAAGCCAGTGTTAGTAGTAAAACAAGGATTTCTCTGCTGCTGTTTCCTTTTGCTTGTTCATTTAAATGGCAGTGTGTAGTTGAAACAGCCTGCAGATCTGCATTGTGGGGGAGCTGTCTGTGATCCTCACCTTAGAAAGCGTGGAAGGTGGGGCTTAAAAGTAATATTTACATGCTCATACTTCCTTTAGAAGCGAGTGCCAAATCTGAAAGAGAGGAAATTGCTGTAGGAGGGTTGGATGTGGAATGGGGATGTACTATCTGTACAGCTCCTTGCAGCTTGAGCACCAGCTCAAGGAGATGTCTTCTTGCTAAGCTGTGGACCTTGGTGGGGATACAGATGAGCAAGGTACCAAAAGGACACTTTTTTGTACCGAAAGCTTTGCTAGTTTTCGTGTACATGCTCTTAAATAAACAGTGCTGCCACCAGGCAGTTTTGAAGCTGAGAAGCATTGTAGCTTCCCTATGGATGTAAGGTACATGTGTTCGCAGATGTCAAACTGGGATGTGTTTGTGACAGAGGAAAGAGAGTGACAGTAAAGACAACAGACTGTTCAACAGGCCTGTTAGCCAGATCTCTTATTTCTCCAGGAATTCCAAGACCTTTGGCCTCAGTTGTCCTTAGTTGTTGATGGAGGCCCAATAGGGGATGTCCAGAGCCCAGAATGTCGTTTGGGCTCAACTGTGGTTGACTTATCTGTGTCGGGGAAATTCTCCATCATTCGTCCTGGCTGGTAAGCACTCTTTGCTGTGTATCCATAAGCAATGCTTTTTAATTAAATGAAATGAAGCTTTCAAGTTATGGTGGTCCTGTTTTACATTTTTCCTGGTTACTAAATTATCAGCATCCTCAGAAATCCTGAAGGACAACTCCAAATGCTGAGCCCAGGAGACTCCTTTCTAGAAGCTTCTACACGAAACATCCTTCTTTCTGCACTTCACTTAATTCAAAATGATTGTGTTTTTTAGCTGGTTGCTCTTTCACACACACAAAAAAAGCAATTTAATCCTTGGGAAAACATTTTTTCTGACAGTTGTTTCACCCCCCCCAGTGCACTGACATCTACAGTTGAGATCCTGAGGCAGAAGTATGGCTTGATCCCAGAATCATCGTAAGACTTCGGACTCTGAGGCTCTACAGAGCTGGTAAAGCTGGACACTATGTGCCTGTGCATTCAGTAGACGGTGTTAATGGCCTTGTTTAATGAGGTTGATGAGTTGTGTCAGGTCAGTAAACAAAGGTAATGAGAATAACAGTTGATGGGTGTCTGTTAATTAATGTTACATCTACCGAATCTTGAGAAACTATTTATGCTAAACTGTGCTGCTGTACAATTTCCAAATACCTGTTTTAGTAACGTGATCTAAAATAAAATAATGTGAGTATTAGGCTGTTTTCAAGATGGCATGATGTCTCTGATCCTCTCTGCCCATAAAACTTGTTCCATGTGTCTGTTTATTGCATCAGTTCCGATGCCCAGGTGCTTAATTGGAGTGTGTGTGGAGTCATTGTGAACAGAGCCCTGTTTCACATCCCGAGCTGCTGCTTCTCATTTCATTGACACAAGTATAAGCTCATTTGTGGCTCCATTTAGAAGGGTCCCAGCATCTTTTAAACCACAGAGGTGTAGTGGAAATGCTGAGTCACAGCTGATGGAGCACCTGGTGGGAAAGCAGGGCCAACCCAGGGGAGCTCAGCTGCAAGCAATCCACTGAGAGACCAGAATGAGTAGAGCCAGGTTGAACCCCTTCCTAGCCCTCCTTTAAGGGTTGGCAGGGGAGGTAGGGGGCATCTGGCTGGAGATCCCTGCCTACCTGAGGCCTTCTGAAGGTAAGCAGCTTCTTTCTTGTATTTCTCTGCTACATCTCTTGCATTTGAGCAAATCCTCACTTGCTGCAGCCTGTGACCTTGCTGCTGTGCTATCACTGCTGTGCTTTCCATCATGTTACAAGAAGGAAAGCTACTGTGAGCTGGACTTCTTTCAAAAAACAAATGAATGGTGTTTTCAGCAGCATTTTTATTGCAAGTGGTTTGATTTTTTTTTTTTTTTTTTTTTTTTCTTTTTTTTTTCCCCCTTTGATTCTGAAGTGAATAAAGCAACTTCAGGTCTAAATTTTCAAAATTTGGAGCAGTAAACAACCACTGAAGAACTTTTAGGAGAGAAATGGTTGCATTTCCTTGGTTTCCAGCATGTTGAGTAGTAGGGGTAAATAGCCACTAGCATTTGGGCTGCAATTACCCTGAGTTATTTGGAAACAGTGAGCCATAGTAACAACACCTTGCACAGAACTTGGTGTAGAAGAGCCTGCATAAGCCAGAGGGTAACTGCATGGATTAGTTTCATCTACAGTAAACAATTTAGAGGAACTTTTATTTCTTTTTTTGCAGCCAGTTGGTAAAGAAATGCTTTTGAAGTTGCTAGTGGAGTGAGGGATCTGTGGTGGCAGCAGACAGAGGGTAAAATGCATGCTGGAACCCAGCTAACTATGTCAGACATCACAGAACGTACACACCATAAGGAAAAATGGATCTTTGGCCCTGAAGCCAGCACCCCCATGCATTGCAGAAGAGCTCTGAAAAGGTCATCTCTGCTACATCTGCACAAAGTCAGACTTTGCTGCTCAGAGATTTCCTGCTCCTTGTAATTCTTCCTCCTGCGGCTTCAGAGCTGGGACTCTTGCAGTCCTTGGGGTGCTTGCAGGCTGCTGCAGGCTCACTGAGCAGCCTGAAGGTTCTGCAGCTGGTTTTGTTGGTTTGGTTTTTTTCTGAAGCACCTGTCTGTGCTGCAGCTCTGTCAGTGGGATGGCTTTGAGGAACGCAGATGCTGAAGTCACATCAACCACTGCTCTTTCTCCTTGCTGAAATGTTCTGCCCACCTGCGGGTCAGCTCCAGGTACATGTTGGGCTGGTGAGGAAGGTAGTCCAGGTAAAGACGTGTCAGGGTCTTCTTGGGAACAGCTTTCTCAATCTGGGTGCCTTCGTGCCATTCGTTGAAGGACGTGATGGAGACGATCTCTGGCCTGACCATGAGAGCAGCCTGCAGAGCTGTTTCATAGTACTTCCCATTGACTCTGTTCCGAGTGTTGTGGTTGTTCCAGGGGCGAATGCTGGTGTCAACGTAGCCCGGTCCAACGCTGGGGATGAACATCAGGTTGTTGGAGTCGCAGAAAGTTTTGATGGCTTTCCAGTTCTGGTGGGATGAGCCAAAAGAGAAACCGTTGGAGGCGAAGTACGTGTACATGCCATCGTATCCTGCAGAGAGGATATCCTTCTTGTGCCCTTCCTCCACCAGCAGCGCTATGAACACAGCGTCGTAGGCGGTGTTACGGAGAGAATGGGAACCTGATGGTGTGAGAAGGTTGGCCCAGGATTCAGCTGGTGTCAAGTAGGAATCGTAGATATAAAACAGCGGGAGGCTCCTGCCAGTGCTGGTCTTGTACTTATAAAAAGCAGCGTGAGATCCGTATCTACAGAGAGAGCAGAAAGCTTTTTCAGAGGCTGGAGTGATAAGCCCTCAGCAGGTTTTGCTGTTAAAGGCAAGAGTGATGTGAGACTTGGTTTGCCAAGTCTTTGCTCAGAACCTTTCTCTCCTTTCTGGGAGTGCTCTGTAACTGTGCTGTTTGTTACTTTGCTTCCCTTTTGAAGGAAAGAGTGGAGGTGACAGGCTTAGAAACCTGAACAGCAGAAAGCAGCTTTGGGCTCTAGAGGCAAGATAGTGGAAAAAGTGGGATTTGATTACAGCTCCTGCTGCTCAGCACTGCTTTGTTGGCTAGCTGTAGGCAATTCTCACTGTGCACTGCTTTTTGGATGCTGTTCTGATGCATTTAATTCAAAGCCCGCTTAAAGCAGTTTCTGCTTAAAGCAGCACTCCACAGCTGGATTTCTGCCTACGTGAGAGACTTACTTGTCCACGATGTATTTGATATTCTCATGCACTGTGTGGTCATCGCGCCCTTTGTACGGCTGGATGTGGAAGGCAACCTTCAAAAGAGGAGGTGGTGGAAGGGGGGGTTATTTTCAGCACAGTCCCATTCGCTCCCTTTTCCCCCTGACCTCCCAGATCATCCCAGAGCTGTTGCAAAGGACCTTCTGTGCCCTGCAGGTGAATGGGCTGGGGGGGCCCCTGTGTGACACACGTGGGCAGTCTGCTCAGAGATGTCGGAGTGGGAAGTAAACTGAGAATTAAGGGGAAAAAAGAAAACCAACAACCCCTTAGTATTTAGCTGATGAAAAATTGTTCCCATGAAATAAGAGCTCTTACGTGAAGTGCCCATTTACTTCACTACTAATTGAAGCAGAGGAGTGGGACCTTTGCCTAGGCATAGCATCAGCTTCATGTCGGAGCTGAACAGTAAGTTCAGTGGCCTCAGACAGCAGACAAAAGCGTTACCTTTATGGCATACCGTTGTGCAGCATCCAGTATGAATGGCACGAGGCTGTCTGATGGTTCCCCGCTGTCATCTGCTAGGCCGGGTGGGTACCACGACAGAACCAGCACTCCTGTGGGAACACAATCACGGATTGCTCAGACGTTTTGTTTCTCAACTTTGCCTCCTCCCGTGCAACGGCAGCGAGGTCACTGATTCACGGCACTGCAATGCTTGAGGCGATCCGTGCCGTGCGAGGTTTGCTTGGAAGAGCCTCTAAGCGCTGCTCTGTTGTTGGCTATGGGGTGGCAGAGGGCAGCGGCCGAACGGGATGCTGAGCCGGGGCGGGGCGGGGGGGCCGAACTCCGCATCCCGGGGCGCTGCGGGAACGGATCCGGGTTGCGGTGCGTCCCGGTGCTTACCGATGGCGGCAGCGCGGAGCTGACCCATGTGCTCGTCCACCACGGCGGGGTCCCGGGAGCTGTAAGGGCCGAGCGCGGGGTAGAAGCTGGAGCCGATGTCATCGGGCGGGCGGTGGCGGCCCCGGGGGTAACTGGCCGACACTTTGGGGTCCCAATGCGGCACCAGGGCGTGATCCCAGTGCAGGTAGCGGCCCTCGAAGCGCGGGCTGCCGTACCAGGCGTAATAGAAGGCGTGCAGGTCGTAGGACGGGCCGATCCCCGCTGCCGGCTCGCGGGCTCCGGGAGGAGCGGGCGGCTCTGCCAGCCCCGACGCTCCGGCGGGGAGAGCATCGGCGGCGCGGAGCGTGCGCAGCGCCAGCACCGTACCGAAAACGAAGAGAGCGGCCAGCAGCAGGGCCAGCCCACCCCGCCGCCGCCGTCTCCGCATCGCCTGAGCTCCCGCTACCGGATCCCCGGCTCGGAGGAGGCTGCTCGGGCCCGGCCCCGCGGTGGATGCTCGGCACGGCGGGGGACGCCTCGCTCCGGCCGGGCGCCGTTCAGATTCTCGGCTCCCGGCCCCGTTGGGTGGCTGCGTGCTCTCTGTTGCCCCCTGCTGGCGGCGGCCGGGACTGCAGCGCCTCCGCCCCGCTCGATCCCGGCCTCGGTTCGGCCGCCGCCAGCCGCGCTGTGCCGTCGGGACCCCGCGCCGCCCTGCGAGGAGCCGGGAGCTCCTGGATCCCCCGCTCGGAGATGTGGGTGACCCAGGAACTGCCGTGGTGCTGGGAGTGGTGGTGATGCAGCACTCCGATCGCAGCCCCGGGTGGGGAAGCGGCTGTCGCGCACTGCGGGAGGACACGGCTTCTATCTGTCTCCAAGTGAAACACTTGAAACGAATGGTTGGTGAAGGATTAAACTTAAGGAAAGGTGAACGAGCCCCAGCGAACGCTGAGATGTGACTATCCGGGCTGCTAAAGGAAATAACATTTTAATTGGGTGAATCTGTTATGCACAAACGTTACAGGCGATAAAACTCCTGCTAAATGGAAACCCAGTAATGAGATAAACCTGTTGAGGGAACAAATTGCCCGTAAACCACAAATGGGTTTCTGAGGCTCCCCAGCAGGGTTAGGCCTTCCATTATTTCGCTCGGCTGAAGCTCGTGCCGCCCCACGGCACTGAAAGCTTCTGGCAGCAGTTCTTACCTCCATCCATCCCTGCGTGGGGCTGTGCTCTGCGGGTGAGCAGCAGGAGTTTGTCTTTCAGAGCTGGATGTGGGTTTTGGCTGGGTCAGGTGGGGGTGAGGACTCACTGCAGAGCTGGTGTGCAGGATGCTGAGCATCACTCAGCAGGGCACACACCTGACCCACCTGGCTCCCACCTCTCTGGCCTCTGCTTTGGCTCAGAGCAGAAATGCAGCTGTGTTTTCTTAAGGGAGTTGCTGGACCTCCTGGTTGCAGGGAGAGATTGGAAGCCATGGGCTGAGTGTACTTTAGTGACTTAGAGACTCCAAGGTGAATAAAAGCCAGGCATTTAGTTCTCAGATCCCTCTAGGACCCTTTGTGTTGTGATTTGGGAGGCCTGGTTCAGCTCGGGGTTGATGCTCTGTGCTTGTTTGCCAGCTGATGGGTGCCTGGGCTCTGCAGGCACACGCTGAGCCCCCGTCTGCCCTTTGCCCCTCACATGCTGCCACCTGCTTGAGATGGCATCTGCAGGTGGGGCAGAACCATCTAGAGACCAAATACTTGGAAGTAATGATAGGAAGGTGTGATGTGCCAGTCGGGGTGCTCAGCTCCCACTGCCACTCCCCATGTGGTGCAGCTCTGGCATGGCACAGTCAGCAGCTCTGTGCTCCCGGTGGGTTTTGGTTCCCAAATTCCCCAAAACGATTTCACCAGGGCACCTTTTACTACTGTGCTGTGATGACGCTTGTCCTGGCCAGCTTTCCTGCTGGTTTCATCCGATGCCATCCGTCTGTAGATGGATCTGTGCAGCGCGCCTGCAGCCTTCTGCTCCCTGGAGCTCTGTCTGACCACTAGATAGTGCTCGGCCACCGAGGGAGTGCTGGAGCAGCCCAGCAGCGTGCTCCGTGCTTCAGAGCATTGAGCAGTGGGCGCTGAGTGGAGCACGAGGCAGCAGCTCTGCTTGGTGCACGCTGAGCCCACGCTGCGATGATTTTTCCCGGTGTCTGAATGCTGTGGTTATGTATCTTCATTGCTCACGAGCAGCTGTCTCTGTTGCTGCTAATGGACTGTAATACTCACAGAGCTGACCCCAAAATGATGGCTTCAGAGAAATTGCTGTCTGCCGAGCTGCTGCTGGAGGAGTCAGGGAGCAGAGGGATGTGAGGGGCTGCCATCTGCTGAGCGTGTGCGTGAGGGGTCCCCTCCTCTGAGCCTTTCCTCTGCCTTGTCTTCTTCACAAATCAGGTCCCTGCAGCAGAGGGAAAAGAGAGAGGGATCGCTTCTCTTTGCTCTGCTTGCTCAGGACCCTCTCCTCTTCCCTACTAATTCTGCTGCTCTCTGTATTTGCATAGGGAGCTTGTCCCCCTCCCTCCCCCACTCTCATTTCTCACCTCCTCAGCTATTCATTGATCCTTGCCAGCCTCCTCCAGCGCTCATTCATCACTCTCGCACCCGCCATCCACTTTCCAAATGTTTCCTATTTTTCCAGTGATGTATTTCCCTGCTCAGACAAGCTGATCTTGTGCCATCAATAACCGGGGTGCAGCTGTGCTCTGACCTCTGCACTGGGACTGGCACGGACCAACAGAGCTGTGGGTCAACGGAGCTGAGCCACATCCCCTGGGTGCAGGACGTGTGTTGGCTGTGTGCTGAGTGCCAGGTGCCTTTGCTCCTCCAAGACCAAAAAGCTGGAGGTCTTTAAGGAGCTGTAGAAAAGCCAAGAGACAGAGCAAACTTTAGAGAAATCCTTGCTTTGCTGTCTGCTCCGAGGTGCCCAAAGCCTTGTCCCTCTCTCCTGGCCTCTGTGAGAGCCAAAGGGAAACATACTGATGTCAGTCTGTTTGTGGCTCATCCCGGGCTGCTGGTGCTCGGCGTCCCTGCAAGTGACAGCTTTATTTGTGCTGCTGGCAGCAGGAGGATGAGCTGTGTGTCAGGAGGGTGGGATGGTTGGTGACCCCTCTCCTTCGCAGGAGATGCAGGCACTATCAATTTACTGGCTTCTGGGTGTCCGCAGGCCATCGTGGCTGTCATGATGATGTACTCAGCACCAGCTAAGGCAGCTGGCCCTTGTGACAGCATTTGGGCACCGTCAGCAGCACGGAGTGAAGCCAGGCAGATTTGGGGCGGGGATGGAGGGAGGTGGATGTGAGCAGGAGCTGCTGCTGGCTGGGAATGGCTCAGCGGTTTCCCATGAAATCAGATGATGCGATGTAATTGCAGGAGATGTAGCAGAGCTCAGAGCCCACGGACGGGAGGTGTCGCCTCTGCAGGGCTGTGTGTGAGGTTGGGGGTGCTGCACAGAGCATGCATGCAGCTGGGGCAGTGCAGAGGGCTGCAGTGTCTCAGCACGAGGTTGTGCAGGACAGAGCTGCCTTCATACAGACGTGGGGATTCCCATCACAGGATGGCTCTGCACTGAGCTGAGGCTGCGGGGAGCAGCCCTTGTTTTGCTCCTGGGCAGCATGAAGGCATTGGTTTCGATGCTTATTTAGTGGTGTTGGTACATCCATGAGCAGGGACCTGCTGCTGGGCAGGCTGACTTCCAGCCAAACCGTGGTGCTGGGAGGTGAGGGGACGTGGGGTGATGGTGATCAGAGCACTGCAGGTGATGAGATGCGTTGTGCAAACGCTCTCTTCACGGTTAGGAAGCGCTGATCACAGCTGCTGCAGTTGGGGGAGCTGCTTATTTAGATCTTGTAGGTGGAACTATAAACATTTCCCTGTTCACGGGAGCTGTGCGGAGTCAGGGTGACTCTTGTGTTTGCAACCCTTGTTGAAATCACACTGGTGTGAGCACTCGGAGCAGGAAGTACTCAGCTTGCATTCTAATGAGCACTTGACCTCCAAATAAAAAAGCATCTTCGGAACCTCGTTAGCAGAGCAACTTCAGACTTATCCAGCAGAGATCGCAGGAGCTGCACTGAGCTCTGGCCCTGCTGATGGCAGAAGTGGGGGTGTGAGGTACCACTGCAGCATGGGGGTCCTGAGGCGAAAGGCCTCACTTTGCAGCTCTGCAAAGCCTCAATTGCATTCAAGGCAGAGCAGCCACAGAGCATGCTGTGCTGCATTAATAGATGGGGGGTCTTGCAAAGGGTCTTATGTGGTCGTGGGGCCCCAAAGGGGACCTGCTGTCACACAGGCCAGGTCACTTATTTGGTCGAGAAATCATTTACGAATAACGACGCTGTTGGTAAGTTTCTAATTAGCACTTAACGTTTGCTATGGTGCCTATGTTATCAACCTGGCAGGGCACAGTGCACCTCCTCACAGCTCGTGGGTTGTTGAGATTGCTTTGAGGCTCCATACGTCCTGATCACTAGGAGAAGCAGCCTTCCCAAGGCACAGTGTCAGTTTGCTGACAAGTTTGGATTAATTGCTGAAGGCCCTGAATTTATTGCCTGGTGTCAATGCCACCAGTGCTCAGCAACACTGGGCTTCCAGAAGGAAGCAGCCTTGACTGGGTCCTGCTGTCCCAGACAGCTGCCAGCACTGTCCATGGAGAAGTTCTGCTCCTCCTCCACCAACCAAGCCCTGAAATGCTGCTTCTCAGCACCCTCATTTCACAATACAGAGCAAAGACAACCAGGCTTGGGCTAATTAAGATAGAAATGTAACGTTACAATTTGTAGCTGATTAAATCTTTCAAACAATATTTATGTTAATCTCCTTCTGATTTATTTTCTCATAATGCCTCACACAGGAGATAACCCAATGTGTGGGGAAATGGTTCCAGATGGAGCATGGCCCGCCTCGCCAGATGCTTGGAGCTGGGGATGAGGATTTGTCACTGGTGGCTGCAGCTGCAATAGTCAATCCTGTCCGTTTAGGCCATTTTTGCACGTAGGGAGGGATGTTGAGCTGCAGTTCTGCTTTTGTTCCCCTCAGTGTAAGATGCTGTGAGGTGCTCTGGTGCTCACAGAGCAGAGGGGATGAGGACAGGGCTGCACGCGGAGCTGTGCCTGCAGGCAGGATGGCTCCAGAGGTCAGGGGGGTTTCACTGTGGAACTGTTAAATTAACTATTCATTTAATTATATTGTGATTAAATTAGATCCTTTCTCTTTCTTTTTTTTTTTTTTTTTCTCTTCTTTTTTTTTTCTTTTTTTTTAATTTCACCAGCTAATGATTCTCTGTATAATTAATGCTGGCTGATGCTGCTAATTCCCTCCTTGCTGCTGTGGACACAGAGGGCTGAGGGCAGTGCCTGACTCCCCCCCTGCTGCCTCCAGGAAAGGGGGGGGGCCTCCAGGGAAGGGGCTCAGCCCTCTG